TGTTTTGGTACTTCTGAGATTTGCTTTGATAAAGAAGTTGTGTGTGTTTGACAGATATTTTAACATATCATAATTTATTCATTATTCCTTCACACACTTACATCTCCTATAGCATCATGGGATTAAAGACTTTTCTAACTGTATGAAGCCTGCAAACTACGTTCCTTTAAAATTTAACATAAAGCTGCTGATTGGCTCCTGCTGTGGCTTTAGTTTATATGAAGACTGTAAAACAGACAACCCTAATAAGAAAGCTTTGAAAATGATATTCTACATGTTCAATATTTGAAATATCATCAGTATATCCATGCCTTTTTTAATCATTTATCTAATATGGGTAACAGAGTGCTAGTGCCTATCACAGCTAATTTAGGAAGAGAGGTGAGGTACACCCTGGACAATCACAGTCACATCACTGGGCTAACACAGAGGGAGAAATAATCAGTCCCACACTAAAATAATATCAGATATATAAATTTTGGCCTGCGTCATAACAAGCTTAATTTCCCAAAATTATGCAATATGCTATTGGTGTAGTACTAAAGATAAAGAGTCACCATGAATTAATCAAAAACTACATTATATTGTCTGAGGACCATTAATCACCAAATATCAGGCAATCTAATGGGCACATTATGGACACAAGTTTCAGGATGCTGACATTCAGAATGATGACTCCAACTTTAGCTCCACACCCTAACCCTATGCTTTGGAGAAAAGCTATTATTCTGATAGCTCTGGGTAACAATTTGATATAACTTCATTGTGTTAAAATTAACTAATGTCCCCAACACATATTTAGACTGCTGCAGGTGATTGTGGTACTTTTTAAACTGTTTATATTCTGCACCTCAACAACATTTGCGAACCATCCTCAGAATGCTTCAATGAAAACATAATGTCTTAAGCCCACAATTGAAAAATGTCATTATAACTTGCAAGCACTGTGAGAAGGTTCCCTGCTGACTGTGTCTCCCCTGTCCTTTCCTTAGTAGAGACTAACACAAACACAACTTACACACCAGTGGTTGTTGTGGCTGAACCTAATCTCTACCAGATTATTAAATGTTGCACTAAACTCTGTCAGATTTCCTCGAATGACTGTGAAGGATTTGTAATTCTCTGGAGTTGTGCAGCATGACAGGTAATCCATATGGTAGTGTGTGTTTGCTGTGGATGTTTTATAGCTGAATTGAAAGTATTTTCAAGTTATGGTGGCTTTAATGAAAAGTGTGCATAAGCCACTGTTGCATGTATTAAAGTTTTCCTTTTCTTGCTGTACCTTTTTTGCACGTATCCTTGGCCACATCAGTCTGCTGCTTTATTGTTTTTCTATGTGCTTTTCTAACTACACTTTTTCTTCACAAGGGATGATGAGCCTGGTTTTCCCAGAGGTTTCACCGTCTTACTGTGAGTGTTTGCCTAAAGGGAATTGTTAGGTTTCTCTCTATAATATTGTTAGGTCTTTACAGTGTACAGGGAATTAAAAATGCCTGTTGTGAAATAGCATTGCATAAATAAAAATGAACTGAAACTAGCTGGCAAGACAACTCTTTAATTTACACTCAGAACAGCTCAGAAAACTGTGGAAAGCTACAGTTTTGGCTGAATAATCTGCTGACTGACTCCTGCCCCACTGTTTTCACATGATCCTTTCATAGTTTGTAAAGGCAGTCGACAGAAGCAGTGACAGCGATGGATGGCCTGTGAGGATAAATCAGATCAGTAATTTTAAATGCTTTATCTAACTGGAACCAAATTTGGACTAAGTGTACAAACTGAGGCCACAAATAAGAACTGTGCTATAATTAAACATTAAAAAACTAAAAGGTTTGCATACAAATCGCTAAAACTAAAGGACGGAAACATGTCAAGCATTGTTAGATCATTATAACTTATAAACAGCTTGTTGTTACTGTCACAATTTGTGAGAGGACTCCTGAAGTCAGGAATCTCGGCAAGTTACACTTAAAAGCCACTGCCAACTGTGATTTAGACGTCGAACAATCAATCTTTACTTTTAAGCACAGGCCACCTCCAGGCTGAGAGATGAAGTCTATGCAAAGTGACAACAACTGCAGTTCCTCTATCGGCCACTAGTGGAAAGCCCCAAAAAGGAGTCGATCGTAATAGGCTCCTATGTTAAAATGTCCAACTGTAAAGCATTTAAAGGTTAAGCAAAAAGTCAAATGTGTTTTGACTTCTATGGATTACAACTCTGCCTGGGGTGATTACTTTTCACAGCTGGGTAATTGCATCAGGGGTGTGGACCGACAGGCATCCAAACAGACATCTGGAGTCAATCAGCTTCTGCTAGGCTTCATCCACGGCCCTCAGTCATTAAACTGTATGATGTGTGTGCTGCTGGGAGCCTTTCAGTGCCATTTTTAATGTATTATCTGACTTATACTACAGCACACTGTATAGTAAACACCATCCAGGATTTGGTGAGTTAAAAACTAGCATTTTATTAGTCTGTCAGCTACTCAGCTGATTAAACTCTGCTGCATTGATACAATTTGTGAATGCAGCTCGTCAGCCGAGGCAGTGGCCAAATATGGTGTCCAAAGCCAGTAGGTGACATCACAATGGATGTGACCATTTTTATGTTACCCATGCTTTTAAATTAGACTAAAAGTAACAAGAGTGTCCACACGTTACCCACAAGTTGCCGGTTTGTTTCCAGTACTGACCCACAGAAATATATTTATTTTTAGATTACTGCATGACATTTGTACTAAACACTAGTGTTATAACAAATGTTATAAGGTTATAAGGCATTTTACATACATATTGATGTAATATTTCTACAATATCTAGTGAATAATCTATAAATATTTCATTTGACTACGTTAAAGTATTATAGTGTAATTAAAATTTCATACCAACTTACTTAATATGTTGGTATAAGAGCTAATTAAAGGGGTTAACACAATGAAGCTACTTTGCGTGCTCCTTATACACAAGGTGTCGCCACGGTGACTCCAGATGTTTTGTTTGGCAGATTTTTTTTAACCCCTTCCTGACAAAACCACTAATGGAAAAAGCGTGTAAAAATGAATTAATACGACGAGTCATAGAATATGAGAAATGTGTCTTCAGCTCTTCTGACTTCTTTTGGGCACGTTTACTCTGCCCTTTAGTTTCCAGGAGTGTATAGGGTGTTTGATTTCTATGTGCAGCTTTTGATCTTAATCAGGAACTCAGTTAACCACAGTACACTTAGTTCGAGCTGTTTACGTTTCTTTGGTTTTCCTGTTTGTCATGGCTGTGAAGATGAGCTTTTATTTCTTACTGCTGGGATTTTCATACCAAGTTTTCTTTAATAACTACATAACTGAAAAAAAAGACACACTCAACAGTAACACACTTTTAAAGATGAAATCAACCTCAGTTGCATTTGTTAGTGCAAAAATCACGTTTAATAATCATGAAATCTATTTTCACAAGATGACCCTCTTATTTTTTCCCAGAAAGAGGTCAAATAAAGACAACACAGGACAATATTTGAATTTTAACCGTTACATCATTTATATAAGAGATACTAAAGCAATTCTTAAAGAATTAGTATGAAGAAGATATGCCGGGTTACATTCTGATTTAAGCCCTTTTTAGAGAATTAAGATTACCCGCAGAACTAGGAAATAAAACCAACAATGAAATCAAACAGCAACAGAAAACATTTGTACAACAAAACCTAAATCACAAGAAGCAATGAGATCTTTTTCAGCTGTCCCAAGTCGGCTCCTAAGGAAAATGTGTGAAGCTCAAGATCTGCAGCTCTTCTCCGATTCACTTGCGGATATTATCCCACACCTGAAAACATCACCACCCTCAACCAAGTGGTTCATACTGTGAGCGACATGAGCTGAACTGAGCAGCATTCAGTCACCACATGTTAGTTTACTGGCTGAATATAAAAATTATCGGCCCGTATTTTCAAAATAAAAGCATTCACTTTTCTCCTTTTTATATCTTTATAGCCTTAGTATTTTACCTCTGGACTCAAAGACTGTCTTTCTGTCATATTTTGCGCTTAAGTTTGGACATGTGTAGAGAGTGAGTCCACACTATCCTGATAGACCCATATGTGTCAGACTTACAGAAAATTGTCCAAAAAAAAAGTAGATTTTGAGCTTTAATTATCCCTGCAGCGTTGTGGCTGGCTCAGCTGTTCTTACAGCCACTGAAGGATGAAATGTGCTGGAAAAAGCCGAGAAAAATCATAATAATGAATCAATTTTCTGCACAGCTTCCAGCTGCAAATCCATGCTACTATCAAGATCAAATACTAGATGTTAGGTTTAGACTATTATTTACAGCCTCCAGTGACTTTTCCACTGCTTTGCCAGTTCACGACCTATAAACACAACATAAAGGTCACATGCTTGAGATAATTTTAGAGTTTTGAATACAAGCACATCGCCTGAATGCAGCAGAGTGATCAGCTTAAAAAAAAAAGTCACAAGTAACACACATTATATTCACTCTTTCAGTTGAAGGTTTTATTTTTATTTTATTTATTTGTTATTAACATGCCCTTCCCTGCATTAGTTTCACTATTGGGCCATTTAAGAAAAAGAAAAAAAAAAAATCCTCTAAAAATCAAAACAATTACATGTGTGATTTGTTTACATGTGACATTTTCTTAATCAATGCTTGGAGAAGTAATCAGAACCCCTCAATCTACAATCAACGCAAACAGCGCCACCTGTCAGACATGTTGCTCACAGTGTGAACACGCAAACAGCTGGACACTGTAATTTACAGCACAAAAGTTCTGTCCAGATGGAAAAGTGGGGAAAAAAAATATAAAAGCCAGTTAAGTGTAACATTCTCAATCAGCCAAGATTTAGATGTTTTTATGTTCATGGTTCACTCTGCAGCAGGATCACACTGTACAGACAATCTTGTGGGGGGGAGTAATGACTCATCGGGTTTTTGTACGTCTGCATCAGACTGTGTCATTTCTCTTGGTCAATATGTTTGGGAGGTTGGGAGGTGGAAAAAAAATGATTCAATTTTAGTCAAACTGTGGAATGAGACATTTAAAACCAAGTACATATTGCAATCCTTAGTTTTGTACTGTATACTAGAAGTTTTACTACCAAGAAATCAGCGTTGTGACCCGTTTAAGTGCATATAACCCCCCCAAAAACACAGGAACTAGGTGTCTTTGAACCGGGCATTTAATATTTGCCGGCTGCTGTTGCCTTTCCTGAGGAGCAGGATCTCTTAAAACACACATGGCTGCATGGTGGCCATCAAAACGTTCCCATCTGTTTTTTAACTGTATTACAAAGCTGCAGATGCTGATGACATGTGACAGACAGGACGAAGAGGAGGGCTGAGCACAAAAAGACTTGAGACAGCGTCATTTCAGAAACTTATGAGAACTGTACAACAAAAACATTACAACCCAAAGAACCCAAATCTGTACAAATGTACAAAAATCAACAGGCTTAAAATAACATGAGGATTCATTTGAAAATGTCCAGTCGCTGTGGATCTGACAGTATATGGTAACAACCTGGATCAGAATCCATGTGCCGACTTTGTTGAGTGCAATCCACAGCAAACCTGAGGCCGGACTTTGTGCTTCTGGATTCGACAGTGACGTCATCGTCTCTCCGTGAGCACCACCGCCACAGTGAGTATAAAGGACAGCTGGTTAGTGATCATTAACATGGTCATTTCTCTTATCGCTATAACATTACCAGAAAGTTTAACCTATAAGATCATAACAAGAAAATGATCCCTTTCTTCTTCCTGTTCTGCTGGTTTACTGAGATGCTTAATGCTGTACTGTTACTGTATATCTGTGTAGAAAGAAAGTCACAATGAAGGAAATCATCTGTAGACACTCAGAGGTGTTGGACATAAAGGTAAAGGTTCAGCTTTTGTTAGAAGCAACGCAAACTTGTTTTCCAAATCCCGTTTGATCTCAGATAAAAGTAAAATCACTTCTGTGGTTTCGGTTTCTAGTCCTGACTGCAGTGTGCTCATGTACATCTTATCCCATGTCTTTTGTTTTAAACAAACACCTATGAGGAGTTTCATTCCAAATATCCTGATGCAGTTAGTGTGCTCTATTTAACGAGAAGAAAACTTCCAAAATACAAGTTCACACTTTCACCCGTCTGTGAAAATGAAGTTTCACGTGAGTGAGAGTCTGCTTGGTTGGAGCTGGGTGTCACAGGCTGTCCCCGTAGGAGGTGTTTTGACTTTTTCAGTCAGCCGATCCAACAGATGCACTTTAGTGAAATCAATGCAGCAGTCTACGCTGACTTTATGGTGACCTTTACACTCTGTAGCTCATTTAAAACAATAAAAAAAAGGTCTCATCCAAGCTGCTGATGTCCTGCTTTCAGACTTCGACAGGTTCATACAATATGTTAAGATTACTCGTTCAGTCGAGTTGTCAATAGGCAAAATGCCTGGCATTCTAATGCATTCCTGGCAGATGACATGGCTGTCATGCACTGCATGTCTTGTGTTTCTAATGTGACTGAGAAAACATTCCCGTCAATATTCCAGAGTTGCTAAATCTTTTCTTAAGAATACTGTAAACGCCCGTCAATGTGAAGCGTGATGCGTCAATCTGATAAAAATGTTGGATTTTCTAAGCAGACATGCAGTGACGCAGGGAAACAGGACAGACGAGAATCCTAACTCAGTCTTGGTTTAGATGCTACAAGTGCACTTTTACAAATAGTGACAATCCTGAGACCTCCAACAGCACAGAATGAGCCAGCAGAGTGCATACAGCAGAGAAGCAGACTGATGAGTATCTGAGTACAAGTTTGGGCCATAAATACCGAGAAATTAATGATCCTGCGGAGTTCAGAGTCAACTTTGAGTGCTGTTTATTTGAAAATGTTAAGTCTGAGGAATGAAACTCTTCACAGGACTCACTGAGAACAGAAACTCACACTGAAACTGATAACATGAACATCTGGTAAGCGAACTGAACCGGAGTTCTCTGCAGGCTGTAGAAGGTAGTCAATTCCCCAAAGGAGTTTTTTTTTTTCAGTTCCTCGTTCAGTACCCAATCACATGACTTAATTCACACACACTGTGTCACATGATCTACAAGCTGTGGTTTCCATGGAGAAGTGATGGTACTGAAAAAGGAAGCAAGTACACAAGGAAGGAAGGAAGGAAGGAAAGAAAGATGGACAGACTGTTATGGTCGCTTGCGTTGGCAGAGTTCAAAAGAGGTGTGTTTGTTTTATGACACAGTATTTCCCTCTGACGTAAAAGAGCAGCACAGTAAAGGGCAAGTGACAGGAAGACAACATGCCGATTTCCTGATGTTCATTCCAGAAAACCTGCTAAGCTGCTGAGCAGGTAGGAATTTCACAACCTATGGTTCACACACAGTTGTGCAAGAAAAGAAAAACACACACCAGGCCCTAAAACTTCCTTATTACTGCATTTCATTTCATTTCATTCATTCAGTCATTCACTGGAGGCATTAGCTGAGTGTTAAACAATCGTATCGAAAAAAAAATCCAAACTACTGCTACCTCTTTGTGAGGTATTACATTAATCGGATCCGTTTGTATAACACAAAGATAAAAATAACCTACAGCTAACAAAACCCAACCAGGTGCAAAAAACTTCAATTCTTTGTCTTTACCCACTCTAGCAACTTCATGTTTTACCAATTTTTGTCTTTTGTTATAATGTGACATTAAAGTTATAGCAGAGACTTAACAGCCCCACAAGAATATTTTGCAACTTGGTTTAGCAGATTTTATTTTTGCAGTCTGATAACACCATGACCTTATTTTAAAAGTTCAGTCCCAAAGGCCTTCTAATCTCACGTTACTCAAGATGCTATTTTGGCCATCTTGGCATTGTGTTGGACTTGGAGGTCATTACTCTGCTTGAGTTCTTGTTTCAGTGGATTCTAGCATCACTGTCCTGTACTCCATCTGACAACTGGAGATCTTCTGCTGCAAACCCTAGAACTACGGTTGCTAGAAGCTGTAATGCTTTTTGTGTCTCAAACTCTGAGCTCAACTGCAGAGCAGAACAGGGCCTTGCAGTTAAAGAGGATGAAAGACTCATTGGAGATGCAGGTGATTGTAACGCTCAATTACTTATGTATCACAGGGTACTTGCTGATTAAAATATTTCCAAAAGGGCCCTTTATGAAGGGTATTGTTTAGCATGGATGGACAATGGAGCAAAAATGGAATTAAAATATGTGGGAAATGCTGTATAATTACTCACAGGCGGGGTCAGTGCAACAGCTTTTTGGGAACAAATGAACATATCAGCCCAGCACTGCAAAGTAATGTGTGCTTTATTCAATCAATATTCAGAATCAGAGTATATTTGGCTGGCTAGTTATTTATTTCTGAAGGTAAACTTTAGATTGTTTGATCAGCAATGGGGTGTTTGATAGAAGTCTAACTAGATTTCCCAGCCATGGTCGGCTATGAAAGATTTTCACAAGGTCTAAAGCAACCTCTCAACTAGCGTTCAATCAGCCTCGTCTGGAACACAGGTCCACACAAGCCATCTGTTGAAAGATGTGTGTGTGTGTGTGTGTGTGAGAGAGAATGTTGATCACCAATACTTTCCATTCATCCTCTGGTTTTTAACACAATGTGGAAACAAGGCAATTAGTTAATTCCTCTAGTGAAAAATTGCCCACTAGCAGCTAAATGGAAAAGCCAGTGACTGCCCTTACAAGATTGGATGGCTGGTTTAAGTGACTTTCAAGTGTTTCTAGGAACAAATTGAACCGTTCCCATCTGATCCCTGGTCTATAATCGCCCTGGTCTTCACACAAAACCAAACAACATCCCTACCCTCTATAATGTGTTTCAGAGTCAACCTATCATGAAGTCGCTGTTTTTTGCAGTCTTGTTTTATTATCTACTAACCTTTCTGCTTGCTGAAGGCTAAGCTGAGTTTTCTACAAGGCACTATGTGAGGGTATAGAAGAAGGCAGAGTAAGCTTGGGGCCAGCCTCTAAGAAAACTCATACGTGGTTGTTAAAAGAGAAACAATCGCTCACCGTGAGACAAGCTTTAGTTGATTTGTCAAAAGCAGCTATAGTAGATTAGAAAAAGCTCTGGGTTTAGCACAATATATATTTATAAAAGGGAAACTTTTCATTTTGCTGGAGTCCAATTTACAAAAATAGTGCAGAATTCTGTTATAATAAAGTCCTGTTTGGTGAAATACCTGAAAGAAAACCAAAGACAGAGGCTACAGCCCAAACATTTGCTTTTCCCTGCAGAAATTACAAGCAGTTACCTTGTTTATGTCCATGGAGAGAGAGCACGGACAAAAATAAGAAAGAAAGACAAAAAGAAAGAAGACGAAATTAACTTAAGCTGAGTATAGAGCAGAGGGCAAGTCTCTCATTAGCACCTTTGTTTTCTGTAGTGACTAACTGAAGCTAATTAAGAGGGAAGGGAGAAGGGCTGTGATGAACAGTCAAAACTTTATCTCAAAGTGCTGCTGGTCACCCAGGCAGTTTCTCAAGTGACTGATTAATCACTGTGTTCAGGAAAGTATTTATCCCTGCTGGATTCACAGAAAAGGGTAAAACATTTTGGTTTGTAGATGAGACCAGAACTCCGAAGTGAATTAATGAATTAATCCAGAATTCCTCTCTTGGTGGATCATGATTCAATCACAAGGATGGAAAACAAAAAATGTAATCAGCAGAGTACTTCCTCCACGGCAGAGAGATGGACAGACCGTTGGGAGGATCGGACCTTCCTCAGTCACTGCTGTCGTCATCGTCGTCATCGTCCGAGAGGTTGTTGCTGTGGAACTTTGACCCCGGCCGAGTGATGGAGTCTGAGCGCGCCTGGTTTACCGATGTCAGCTGATCGTAGCAGTGCTCGCAGACACGAACTGGTTTGGACGACTGGCTAGGAAGGAGGTACTTCTTCTCTGAGCATGGCCCACAGACCACATATCCACATTTCCTGCAGTGGTGGCGGCGGCTGACTGGCGTGAACTTCACCTTCTTGCAGCGCATGCACACAGATGCCTCTGAGTCGGGCACCCATACAGCCGCGTGCTCTCCTGTAGGGGACTTGCCGCTCTTCTGCAGCAAGTCTCCGACACATTTCCCTATGTGGTTCATCCATTCGGACTTCTCGGTGGCAGTAGCAGCATACACAGCGAAAGACTTGGTGGGCGTCTTGATGAGCCAGCCATTGCGCAGATCGCCTTCATCTGGCACTGTGTCGATGGTGACGCTCTCCAGAGGGATGATGTGCTGCTTATTGTACTTCTTCTTCTGAATGACGATGTTACCATAAACCAGGATGTCGTTGAAGAGGAAGAACTGCCGTGCCTTTGGCTTCTTGCGGCAGAGTTTAGTGAGAACACCCTCACCAATCAGCACACGGCCTGGGATGGCCAGTGGCTGACCTGCAGCGCCGAAGCAGCTCTCAACCACCGCAATCCGCTTGGAGTTGGCCTCGCTGTTCGCAAGCCGGTCCACCATCTTCACCTCACCTGGAGGAAAACAAACAGAAGAAAGTTGAGAACAAACATTGGGGATTTTTTTGTTTTGTTTTTTTAAATCGAGCAACACAGCTAAATAAGCAATTCTGAAAGTTTCTAGTTTGAAAACGAGACCAGCAAGCCTTGACTAATTACATTTTTATCAACATCTTATTAAAATATAGCAGACTTGCAAGAAAAGTAATATTTTCAGGACTTATTTTTATGCCCATCTGAGTCACCGCAGAGCAAATAAAGCCATAAACTGATTATACTGATCCTGTTTACTGACAGCATAATACTGTAAATACAGAGGGGAGTAGAAACTATTAAAACAATCTCTCTCACCCTGTTCTTAAGTTATACTGGCATATCTGTGTTTGTAGTAGCGCATTTCCTGCCAGTGTCTGTATTTCTTTCTAATGAAGAACCACAGTGCAATGAATCACTGTTCCACTTTCCCTGGTAACTTCACTGATCTCATCTGTCACGTGTTGGTTTAGTGCCACATGATCTGATTTTACACTTAAGCTGTCTGTGCTTAAGACTGGCATCTATATTGTAAAATGTCACTTCAAGTAGCAATGCGATAATCACATTGGCTGACAAACGTATAGTCTTTAGCACATGTTATATTTAATTGACAGTGACATTTGCCAAATACAAAAATCATATAAAATCTAATTTTCCATACTGCCAGACTCCCATGGCTTCATCTCGTACAGCAAGAGATAGCACCTCATCCATTAACAAATTAAACAGATTGGATCAGTCACACTTCATCTGTCAGCAATAAATACTAAATATCCAATTTATTTGTTACGACTTCTGGTGATGGCATAAAAAAATAATTAGCCACTAGGTGTAGCAAACAACCCACTGGACATTAACATTACAAAAATAAAGAAAGAAATGAAAAAAAAAGGAAAGAAAAGCTGGTAAGTCCCAAACTACAAACTGAAACAACACTGAATAACTGAATGTGCGGGAAATGTCTTCACATAAAATACATTTAGCCTACATAATATTATCCCACAATCCAAATGTAGGTAAAAACGAGCCATCTCTCCCGCAGGGTGACACATAAATAAATAGTTTACCCGATGTGCACCTTTTTTGCCTCTTCTTTTTAACTCTTCAATTCCTGAACATGAACCAGCATTTTTGAACACTATTTTATCTCAGTTTTATTTTTTCTTGTGTGTCCTTTGTAAGGAAAGGTTACAGTCTGAATGGATCCATTCGTCAAGCTTTTAAGAGAGAATTCAATTGAGACTCAATACCAAACACCAGCAGGTCTCTCTTCTCTGATGTGACCCAGATAACAGCACAGCTTATGGGTCTCCCTTTGGCTGAAAGCCCAGCGAAAGAGGTCAAAGGTCACTGGTGATACAGACAAAGGGATGCTGGCACTCTCTAGGCGAGCCCTAGGGGTTGAGTGCAGAGTCGAGCCCTCAAAAAAGATAAGATGAAGTACACACTATAGTACAGACATGAAGCCATGCTCAAGCAGCATGGATACTGTGAAACCAGAGAGATAAACTTCTGAAGTCTTATTTACTTAGACAAAGCCTGCTGAGATTCATTCATCTTACGATCTTGACTTGTGGATGCGGTTTCCTTTTTAATCCTTCCCACTGCTGTGAACACCCATACATGTATATTTTGTTTTGCTTTTTTTTCCCCCTTTTTCCGGTGCTTTCCAATCAGCCTTATTAAACCTGACTAACAAATTTAAACACAATTATTTGCTCCACCCTTCTGCTTATTCTTACTATTTCTTTAATAATGTTTTGTTTTTAAACTGGAGATATTAGCAAGTTTCTCAGAGACTAATGATTCAGTGATGAAATGGTCAGTAATATTACATTAACATTCATACAAAACAAAAGTGTAAAAACACACCACATTTTTTTAAATTATTTTGGGCCTTTCTAGTTTTTTTGGGTAGATATAGCGAAGACTGACAAGAAAGTGGAACAAAAGAGAGACAGGAGAAGACATGCGGCGAAGGGGCTGCAGGTCGGACAGGAACCCGCTCTCAGACATGTGGCATATGGTCGCCTGCTCATCCCAATGAGCTAAACCGGCACCCAACTTCACCACATTTGAGGGTCTAGAACCAACATTTCTTAAAATATTCCTGAAATTTGATCATTTTTAAACACAGGCAAAGCTACACAATGTCCCTTCTAAACTTCCCAAACTTCATTATTTGAACGTTTCTGTGACTCTGCAACAAATAAGCTCCTAGACACTTGTTTGTTGGTAAGTGGGTGGACTGAACTTGAACAAACTGCATAACTAAACTAACTGTAACATATAGAAACCAAAGTTTAGGTGTGACTGCACTCTTGATTTCAGACTTTTTCAGACAAAGAAAAAAAAATACAAACAACCAAATAAAACCACAGTGCAAGAAACGATGCTAATTAGCCAGGAGATGCCAGTGCAGCTTGGGCCGGGCTCCCTAGTGATCTGCACACTAATAACCCTGAGTGAGGGAGTGAACTGCGACAGAAAAGCCTCGTAGAGGACAGAGGGGTTGCTGAAACGTCAACCCTGTTAGCGAGGGCTCATTTCCCACTGCCAAGGCAGCCCGGGGACCAACTCCCATCAGCAGACAGTTGAAGGCACAAAGAGCAAAAGGTTCTGGTGAGAGATAGCGGCATAAATACAGGCTGCAGGCTCCCAACCCAGTAATCAAAGTGAGACAGAGTGGGATGAAACAGACTGAAAAATGCACAGAAAATGCTACAAGAAGAAAGAGCTTTCTTTGCTCTGCAGTGATAAATGACAGCTTTCATGAGCAAAGACAGGAACACAGCCGGGAGCAAACAAAAGAACTCTGAAGGCATAATATGTCATGACGGTTTAATGGTATGGTCACTATAATGATTTAATATAGTGAGACATTTCAGTTTCAGTTATTTGTCATTTAAGTGAAATGTCATCTTGCAAACAGGTCAAGATTCTTCTAATGATTTTTCTCTTTTCTTTACCTTAAGCTCAAAATGCTATCATTTGTAAATGCTTCAATTTAAAAATAATTAAAACAAATATAATTATCCTTTAAAAAGTGGTTAAAGTACAGCAAAACAGTTATGTATGATCTCTGTGGGATTTCAAATAAATAAAATAAATGATCAATTACATCAAAAAACAAAAAACGTGTCATTTGTTTCAGGAATACAGTTAACAGATGGGTGCTTCTGCTGGCAGACACATTCTTTAATGTAGCTTAAGAAAGCCGACTTTAATATGCCAAAGGAAATAAAGAAAAATTCTGGAAACAGAAATGCTTTTGTGTAAATGTAATAATTTCATCAATTAAAATGTTTTATTGATGAAAGTAAAGTACCATTGTAATTTATTAAGTAGACGTTGGCGAAAGTTTATTTAAATCAATAAAAAAAACAAAACAAATAATACTGGGATTACTAGTGAAGAATAAAAAGTAAATGCAGTCCATTACATTCATTTGCCAATGTGGCTCATAAAAGAAATAAACGTCACAGCCAGAACCAATTATCCATCTCTGTTATGTTGGTATTTAGTGTCAGTTTCCCTTAAGGATAGATTGGGTTCGTCAGCCAGCTGGAGATTGGCGAACTGAACTCTTTGTGCCAGCGTTGCCCTCTGTGGAGCTCAACTTTACCAGCTGCTGATTCTCATTTGTGAAAATGAATACATATATCATCCATCTGTGCTCCCCTGGACAGAGAGAGGTAGACGAAACTGAGCCAGGTTGGAGCAAATTATTTAATGCATCAACCACCGTGACACCAGATTACAGCTGCCTGACCAAGGTGTGAATACTGCCAAGGTTACAGGTTTGAATATCCCTAGAGACCCTTACAGCAGTACATCCACAGAAATTTTGTTTTATGAGTTTGCATTTCCTATGTAAATTGCTGCTAATTATAGGGAAAACAGACGATAGTTCAGAGGTGGTAATTTTAGCACAGTTAGTTGTGATGTATATAAATGCAGTTGCTGATTTCCAGAAGACTCTGAAGAATACGAAGTTTTTTTCCCCCTCTCACCAACTCAACATCTTTGTTATCTTTAATTTTCATTTAATTATATTATGGACAATATATTTTATATTAGATCATTTTCCCTCTTACTTGGTAATAAAACAGTAATAGTTTGCAATGAAGTTGAAATAAAAGGGTAGTAACCACACTGAATGATGTAATTTACATGCAAATTAGAGCAATAACCCAGTTATAGCTTGTAACAATCTTGATTTTTATCTGAAATGAATATAATGTGGTATCAATTCGGATTAAGAATGTGAAAACAAATGTAACACCTATGATGAAAAAATGGCTTATTAAGCTTTTAGTAACAATGTTAATATGTGACAAATGTTACATTTTGTACATTGGCCTTACCTAATTACATGTTATTTAAAGTGCTTTAATTGGTTATTACTTCTCTAGATCCCACATTACACCACTATTTCCATGTTATTACCAAGCTGTAATAAAAGTAACTTTTCCATAAAACCCAGAGGTGTTTTGCAAATTGTTTAATCATTTGCCCGCATGGTCTTTCATTAGCTTTGCCTAAAGACAATATATTTTATTTACTCCAAATTAGTGCAAATCACATACCATCTCAACTTTTCAAACAGGGCTGTTCATGGGTAGTTTTGGTTTCTTAGCTGGAGTCTGGTGTTTTGAATGTCAATGACGACTGGCTGTGCTACCTAGGGTTACGGGAACAGCAGTGGCTTTAGATAAGCCCAATGATTAATTCATTACGAGCCGCTGACCTCTCTCTCAGTTTACAAGAGGTGTTCATTTATTGCCAGCACCCAAAAACATTAAACCTCCATGAAAAAGCAATAAATAAATAAATATTAAAATTATAAATAATTAAAAAGTAGGGCACTTTGTTCTCTTTAAAAAGTGGGGAAGAACGACACGACAAGTAAGGCAGAGATTATGGTTGGTCACGGCTATTACCCTTTATAAGAGATGCAAGATGTTCTAACCCCAACA